TGCGTCCCGCGCTCTTGTGATGGCTGGGAAAATTATATCTTACACTACTCAAAGATGGTATCGTTGGACTGTAAATGCTTGTGTCCTGTGTCCACATGACGTCGCTTCTCGGGATGCGCGGCGCATAGAACTCCAATGTGAAATCAAGTCGTGTAGTATCATCGCCAGGACCTTATTAAAATGGGCGAAATTGGTCATAAATACCCCGTAACTTAAAGACAACTGCTTCCCTTTATTCCGTCAGAAAACCAGCCTACAGCAGATGTTCTTGTTATCAACATTTCCAGCCTTATGGCTATCAAGCCGACGAACTACCTGACAGACTACTGCATAGGAAAGGCGGCCCGATCGACTTATATGCGTTGTTTGGCCCTCTCGAGACCAGATATCGCAGTGCTTAACTACGCTCCTGGGCCACTCGAGACGGATATGATGGACCAGTTAATTCACGACAGCGGCTCCAGTGAAATCCGCCATTTAATGGATGAGATGCGTCGGTCGGACAGCATCTTGCGCGCCTCCCAATCGGCCGAGTTGATGGCGCACTGGCTTCGTCGCCTCCGTTTTGCAGAGGGGCCCAGCGCGTCCGGGCCTGAGGCCGCCGTGCACGCGTCAACCAGGCGTCCTGTGCCTGTTTTCTGCCCACAACACCAAGCCGACTGGTCGGATGCATGGGCTGGCAGGCATACAGACTATTTTGATGCGCTGGCGTTGGAGTCTGCCGAGAAGCTGCGTTTCTCCGGCTAAGTCTGACTTGTTGGATAGCAGCCAGGCCGAAACGCCTCCAGACATGCAGCTGCACTTTTGACAAAATGGAAAAATGGTTACTGTCTCAAGGCTGCCTAATACAAATCCGGCGTACCATCGTATACCATGCTTTTGACTTAAATATGCAATCAGAGCACTCACTTCAGGCCATCTAATTCCTCGAGGAGCTCTTCTGAGCTGTATGAGCTCAGCCAATTTTTTTAGACTTTACTCTGATCATCTCCACAATCTGGACAAGTGCAATCTGATAATCTTTAAACGAACTCGTTTGATTATTCTAAAATAAACAGGCCAAACATTTATACTTGTCTGTTATTTTCCATTTACTCTGCCCTAAAATCACGTTCATGGGACGCCTAGCACTGCCTATATGCTTAATAAGAATTTCCTTCGCTGATTCTGATTCGATCAGCATAAAACTTTGCATGTCCCACGATATAGCCAGTTTCATCCTTCCTTCTTTATTACCAAGTGCTACTAGGTCACGCAGCAAGCTAGGCTTGTACTAAAGCACATTTGCCGTGGGCCTGTCGATTAAGCTAACGTCCGTTTGCCATTGCAATTGGCGAAGGCGTAAGTTGGGCTAAGCAATTGTTGAATAAGTGAAATTCAATTGCATTGTGTGGTCTACGCAGGCTTTTGTGGCAAAACTCAGTAATCAGTACCCAAATTTCCTTAAGGAGCCTAGGGTGACTAAGCGCTTGTTTAAGAATGACTGAGCCAGAAACAAAGGGTAATTTGTCAAAGCCTGGTTGATTTCACATCTAAGTCACAAAAGCAGAATTGGCAGTCACACTTCATGCCTCAGGGCCCGAAAGATCTAGGGGACACA